ATTCGATTTTTTGTTCGTTACACTTCAAGTTGTCAAATGAAATGTTTAGAAATATATATCACAATTTGTAAAAAGTTTTTAATGCATTTTTCCTTTGAATAAATTCAACAGTTAACATTATAAAATGAGTGAAAAATAGTCGGTAGAGTATTGTATTGCATTGAAAGGAGTCTGATAAAAATTCCTTTTGATTCTTGGCTATCCAAATAAGGTAGACGCGTCTGATTAATTTAAATTCGAGCATTCGGTACAGACACCTATTTCACTAGAAAGTTCGTTGGATTAAATGATAAATACGCCCTTGTGCGTTAGTAAATGAATAGAAAAGTAATCGGTCTTATATACACAAAGCAATTAAGAAGGTGAAGCAGCGATCAACTTTTCTGTTGCCATATGAGAGTGGGCTGTGTTGGAGTGGGCCAAACTTGGGGCCAAGGACTAGGGGCTACTACAGAGAACTTTAATCTTTTTACATTTATTCGTTTTGTAGTTTAACATCTGTACTTATCGTAAGCATATTTTGCTGTGTAATACTCATCGTTTGACATGGTAATGCAACTGGCTAATTGGGCTGTGCTTGGCCAAACTCCTATCCCCTAAACAAACGACGTTGTTCGGTTCCGTTTAGTTGGCTCGATCTATACAAATCTAATAAGACCGTCTGTCTGCCGGCTTCTGTACTAATCTTTATAGTACGCTCCCTAGCGCAAGCTGGCTGCCCGTAAGGACATTGATTCTGATTTAAAAAATTACATTAAACATTACACACATGGACTAAACATACGCCTATTGTTAGCCTAAACTCAACATCAACATACATATTACTGTTCCTGTGTACATATAAGAAGTTTCTTCGGTTATTCGAGGGTTGCGTTCTGGCTAATACTAAACTTTAAGCATGATTAAAGTTTATATTATTAGTGTGTTGAATGCTCGCTTTTTGCTTTTGTTTTCGTGTTGTGTCATCGAGTGTTGTGCTGTTGTTCTTCTTGTGGTCGCTGTTGCGCATTTCACCTAATTACAAAATCTGCTCGTCTAGTGCCTCGCTGCTGTCCCTTGGCTCCTTTTTGCCCACGGCAATTAGGTAGTCCTCCTGCTCGCCGTATTCCTCTTCGGCCATGTCACTCCCCTCCGGCTCCATCTCCTGCTTCTCTCTATATGCCTCCACTCACGCACTCAGATCGCCGAACTTTAGTTGGTGCCGGTTGGAGGCACTCCGATGGCTGCCGCCGGTCTTGCGGCGCTTCCGCTTGGCGTCCCGCTGGAAGGCCACATTGCCGGGGTCGTCGGCCAGTTGCGGATACTTGTGTATGCTGTGGATATCGATCCCGTTCCAGCCGTCGACGTCACCGTGCTGGACGAGCTCCTCCTTCTCCTCCTCGGTCCAGTCGCCCCGCCCTTGGAAGCCGGCGGCCACCAGCTGCTTCTCCAATTCCCAGGCCCGCTCAACTGCCCGCTTGTGAGCATGTTTGAGGATGCGGTGACGCTCCTGCTCGGGATCCACGCCGTACTTGATGATGACTACGGCGTCGGGACCGTGCAGCCGCAGCTCCTTGGCGGCGCTGCCTCCGTGATCACTGATTTCGTGCGTTGATATGTTGAACATGCCCCCAAGGCGACGTAGCTCCTCGTTGTCGTCGCGCAACTTCAGAGCATTGTCCTTTACGAAGTAAAATACGTCTTGGTCGTGGATGCTGAAGTGCAGGTCAAGGAAGTACGAGTTGTTGAACACGCTGCTCACCACGTCCTGCACCACACTATTCGATCCATCGACCACGCTAACCAATGCCCGGCCACCGATCCTCGAGAGCAGCACACCCTCGCCGAAAACTCCCCGCCGATAGCTGATGCGCGGCAGCAAGTTTCGCATCTTAGGCTCCATCTTGAGTAGCGGCTTGGGCACAAAGTCAAAGTCGCTGAACTTTTCGCTAGTTTTCTCCACAATGCACTCAAGGCCGGAGATCACACCGAAATCGGGCGCCAGCATGTTGGACTTGATGGAGGCTTGCGGTGTGTACTGGGCCAGCTTGGTGTAGCGACTGCTCTGCATGTTGTTCAGGTCGTAGCCGAAGAGCTGTAGCCAGGAGTCCAGGTCGATCATGTAGTTCTGCGGTCGGTTTGGGTTGACGGGGTCGTTGTTGTGGTAGCGGTAGATGAACACGTCCGTTGGGTGCGACATCTCGGTGGCCAGGGTTTCCCATAGCGGGGTCATCCACTGGCCCACGTGAGGGTCGTACTGCCGCTGCTCGGTGTAGACCAGTTTGGTATGCGGGTCGATCAGACCGCCGTGGAAGTCGATGGGCACAAAGAAGTCCGGCTTGGTGTCCTTGATGATTCGGCCAAAGGGCGTGCGCTTCATCTCCTTGACGATGCCACCATTCAGGTCAATGAAGGCCAACGGCGATCCATTTTGGTCGGTGGCCACGTAGTAGCGCTGCTCCTCGTGCTCCAGGGCGATGAGCATGTCTCGGTCGTCATAGAACAGCTTCATGGTGCGACTGAGCTTGGGGAAGTGCACGTGGGTCACCAAGTGTGGGGTGCGTGGGTTGGCGTAGTAATACTGTGTGGTGTTGCCCTTGTTGTCGTGCCACGCCACCAGGCGGCTGCGGTCGTCGTAGTAGTACCAGCTCTGGAAGCGCTCCCTTTCGAAGGCGTGGATCAGCTGACCGCGGTTGTTGTAGCGATACTTCTGCTCACCGCGCCTCACCACGAAACCGCGTGCGTCGTAGTTGTTGAACTCCACATCGCCCACCTTGATCACTCGGTCGCCGATGTCGTAGCCCAGGTTGAACTTCTCGCCCTGGTCCACTACGCCCACCGTGTTGCCGTTCTCATCGAACAGGTACTTCCAGTTGTTGGTGCCCAGGACCTCGATCACATGGCCGTCGGCATTATAGTTAATCTTGTCGAAGGCGGTGGACCTGCCGAAGGTAGTTTTCTGCGACTTGATGCGATTGCGCAGGTCGTAGTCCAGCTCCAAGCGGAACACGTCGACGTTCTTCACGTTCATCAGCACGCTCTTGACCCTGCCGTGCTGATCGTAGTCTACAATGGTGAAGAACTGCTTGGCCGAGTCCTGGATCACCGTCCGGTTGAAGGCGTTGCGAGTGATCTTGAGGTCCTGCACCACCTCCAACTGGCCCAGATTCTGGCTGTACTTGTACCGCGTTGTCGGCAGCTCCTTGTCGTCGATGGCCATCTCGATGCCGCTGAGCCGGGCGTTTCCGTCGTAGGCGTACTTGTAGTGCGCCGAGGCCAGCGAGTTCTTGGAGCCGAAACGCAGCTTCTCGTCCTTGAGGATGCCGGCATGGTACTTAAACTCGCGTCGCAGCTCGAAGCCTGGCTCCTGCACCTCTACGGACTTCACCAGACTGGTCGTATCCTGGTAGGTGTAGTGTGTGCTGGACAATCCGGCGAGAATGGTTTCTAGTCGTCCGGCGGTGTCGTGTACAAAAGCCACCTGCAGAGATAGAGTCCAATGCATTGTTATTTTTTTTTAAGCTTGACGATAAATATAACAAGGCATGCAAAGTGTTAATAACTTGTACTGGTGGTTATAAATATTACTACACATTAAACATGGATAATTCCGGCAAGCCTATTCACTTTAAGAGCAATGATCATGTTTTTTAGTGGTTATATTCTTTATACCACGAACATGTTGGATAAGTTTTAAAACAAAATTTAAAGTACACTACTCGTTAACTATCTCAACTGGCCTTATTTATCATAAACCAAGCTGTATTTATCAAATTGAGAACTTATAGTGCAAAGACGTTTACTCACCTTGCCAGATTGGTGGGGATGGATCTTGGCCAGGATCTGACCCTCGTCGTTATACAGAATCTCGAAGGGATGGCGGTTGATTGGCGAATAGTACTGGTACTTGAAGAAACCAAGCGAGGTTTGAAGCGAGAACGCGTGGATGTGGCCCCGAGGAGTCGTAAGGCTCTGAAGCGCACCCGCATCGTCGTACTGCAGGAGGTAATCCGACCGTCTGGGCGTCGTCACCTTCAAGGGCAGCGACCCAAACATATCCTTGAATGCGTAGACCATTGTTGAGCCATCGCCGTACTTGATTTCGTTCAGACGTCCGTTGCGGTCGAAGGAGTAGGCCTCCTGCAGGACACCCCACTTCCAGCTGACCAGGCGTCCGAATCGGTCGTACTCCAAGTCCACGTCCGCGTAGTCTCCCGATTGTGGCCGGAAGCTGATGGGGCGCGAAGTGCGGTCGTAGGTAACGTTCAGCAGCTCCTGCTTGTCGTCCACCATCACAACCACCGACTGGGTCTCGCGGTCGTACTCCAGGGTCAGGACGTTGTCCCCATTCACGCGTAGCTTGCGTCCCACCTCGGTGACGGGACGGGGCGGTCCCTTGCTCTGTTTGCCCGCTTGCAGTGGCTGCTGACGACGCACGAAGTAGCGCCACTCAAAACGGTTGGCCAGGTCACCGGCGATCTCGGTGCGTTGCTTGGCCGGCACTGGGTAGCTTTCGCCCAGCAGCGGACTCTGCTCGCCCAAAATTGTGTAGGGTGCCACTTCCATCTGAAGGTTGTGTCCCCATGGTGTGATGCTGGTGGTGGAGCCGTCCATGTCGACGGTAGTGCGCGATTCGGCGGCCCCGTTGCGCACAATTACGGTGGCGCCTTGGATCAGCAGCGACATTTCCTTCTGCGCGTTCTCTGACACCTTCACCTGGGCTCCCTTGACGCTCAGGTCGAAGCTCAGTTCGATGACCCGACCGGTGGGCGTTACAGCGGAAGTGAGGCGACCGAACTCGTCGTAGTTGTACACGTAGGATCGTCCGGTGGAGTCCAGCTTGGTCCTCAGCAGGCCAGTGGGGCCATGATACTCGTAGGTCACGTTGTAGTTGTCCGGTGTGCTCAGCTCATGCAGCATCTTCATGCGCGTCATGCGCAGACGGCACTTCTGACCCTTGGTGTTCTCAATGGAGTTGACTTGCGAGGTGTAGTCGCGCAACAGGAACACCTTGTTGCCAGCTGCGTCGGTCACGGTGCTCAGCTTTCCGTTGGAGGTGTTCACGTTGTAGGTAAACACGTATGTCGTCTCTCCGGTCAAAATGTTGCGAGTGGAAACGTGCTGGCCGAATCGGTTGAAGATGTAGATCTCCTGCATGTCCGGTGCGTAGATCTCGTACTCGCGTGAGGGGCTCGCCTCCGGGATGCTGGACATTACCGAGCGGATGCGGTAATTGGCTTGGTCCGCGATGTGCACATGGCTGTCTGGTGTGACAGCCAATGCGGCGATGGTGTTGAACTTTGCGCTGGTGGCCAGGTAGTGCTCCGCCTCGAAGCAGTCGCAACCGCGCTCCAGGCAGTTGCACTTGGACTCGGCACCAGCAAAGGGTGCGATCCGTCCGTCTGTGCCGATTACCCGCACCCTGTTTATGCGCTGCGAGTCGCTCTCGGCAACATACAGCTCCCCCAGGGGACCAAAGGCGACCGACTGAGGCATCACCAGGGTGGCGTGGGTGGCCAGATCCGTGTCGTAGGCAGTGGAGGCGGTTGCGCAGTGCAGCGGGCGACCGGAAATGACCCGAACTCGACCGTCTGGCGTCATGCGCAGGATCATGTGGTCGTCAATGATGTGCAAAGTGTTGTCCATCGGCGAAACTGCCAGCTCAGTGGGCCAGCGCAGATGCATCTCCTCCAGTTTAAGGGTGCCCTCGCAGGGAATGGGCTTCCAGTGGGACTTGTGCATGTGATTGCCGATAAGGGTGCTCACGATTCCGTCCCGGTCGACCATGCGAATATTGGTTCCGTCGGCGAAGTACAGTATGTTGTCGCTCGAAATTGCTATGCCCTTGGGATATGCCAGCTTGGCGTCCTTGGCCAGAGCCCCATCGCCACAGTGCGCTTCATCGCCGGGCAAACAGCGCTCCCCGGAGCCCACAATCGCCTCCCAGTTTAGTTCCGGCTGCGAGTAGTCGCTGGTGTCACGCACTCGTATAATCTGGTGCGACTCTGGATCCGAGACGTACAGAGTACCATCGAGTGGACTGAGGGCCATGTGATATCGGTAAGAGACGCGGGTGGCATTCAGCTTGACCACGGTGCGGATGCTGCCGTCGGTCATGATGCGCCGGATGTAATTGAAATCGCCGACGAAGAGACTGCCATCTGGAGCGGCGGCCAGTGCGACGGGGGCTAAGAGGCGTTGCTTGGTGGCCAGGCCATCACAGTCGGGACACTCAAGTGGTCGCTGGTGGCCATCTCCCATGGTGGTTAGGATGATGCGTGGCTTATTGCGCAGATAGATGTTTGATCCGTCGCCCTTCTGCAGGATGCCCTCGTGGAAGTTGTAGCGGTGATGGATGTCCAGGTTCCAACCGCCCACCTCCGAGATGGACATGTCATGACCGCTGAGCTTGGTGGTCTGGATGTCCCATACTATGTCCGTACAATCGGTGTACTGGTAGCCGACCTTCACCATGGCCGTAGTCACACCGTAGACACGTTGTCGGTAGATGTTAAGCCGGTTCCAAGCGTACGTAAACTTAATGCCCGGGTCCGCCTCGAAGACGCGTTCAAACAGGATACCCTCGATGGTGATGCGCAGATGGATCAGGTGAAGCGAGGCCGGAATGACGTCTGGCGTTAGTTGCAGCTTGATGGTGGACAGGTAGCCGGCGGCACGCGATGAGTGGTAAACGAGATTGAGGCCCGTGCCTGGGATCTGGAGCGACTCCTGGATCACCTGCGACTCTGCCAAGATGGCGCTCCGATCGGGACAGGCGCCCTGGAATCCATGCTTCCACGAGGCCAGCACCACTGGCTTCATCAGGTCATAGTCGTGCGCGAAGCACGTGTGCGTCGTCGTTGTGGCCAAGCCCTTTTCCTCGGACATACTCATGACCACCACGTCAATTATAACCACCTCGTTCCACGGCACTTGCACGATGCGCGACTGTGGCCGGAAAGGTGCCCGTCCAAACTGAAGGGTCACGGCACCGCCGCCGTTCACCATGAGGTCGAACCATCCGTCGTCTCGGGTCAGGGTGAAACCCTCCAGGAGGGTGGTGGTGGACACTCGGACACCCACCAGGCCCATGCCAAGGGATGTGACCACGCGCCCTCTGATGACCGCTGATCGACTACAGGGATGATAGAAAACTTGGATTAGTCGGATCTAGCAGGGATTGGGTCTTTAGGGGCATTTCTGGGCATAGATCTAGCTAGTCTAGCAAGCAGTCAAACTGAGGATTGGCAACTACTTGAGCAATAAATAAGTACAAATAATAAGAATTCACACGCACAGAACATAAGACTCGTTTAACACATAAAGGTATTACAATGTGAACAATATATATTATGTCATGTATGGTATATCTCGGTATGGCTCATGTTTGTGACCTAGCATTGACCTAAGTAAATGAGTTTTCCATAGCTTAGATTTATTACGTGGTAAACTAAAAACCCAAAGTATTTTGTCCTGGTTGTCTGGATAATAAGTTTGGGCAATAAACTTAAAATAAACTACCAACTGAGATGATAAGAAATAAAGTTAGCTACACTATAAACGAAATAATAATGACAAGGGTAACTGTAATTGTAACGGTAATGATAACAGTAAGGATTTTAAAAATTATAGCGAGTGGTGTCGAGGTAACGAGAATAAAAAAGTATACAAATGTGTACCAAACAACCATTGATAATCAGTAGTAGAGTAGAGTAGTAGTTTTAGTATTATTTTAGTACCGCTTTTCGCTTGCTTACCTTGCATTGAAATAATTCCAAAAAATGCTGTTAGTATTTCGTTATCGATTAACAAATAGTACGGGAAACGAGTATCGAGTACGGAGTACCGGGTAACGAGAGCGTTTAGCAGTCGTTTTGTAATGCAAAGCATTCGGAATTTCGTGACGCGTGGTGGATAGTGTGGTAGTGAGTATGTGCGTAGTTAGTAGTGGGTGGTAGTATCGAGTAGGAGAGGAGTATAATTTAGTATTATTATAACACGGTTTAGGGAGCGCGTGTGGAGAAGAAAAGAGAGCAGAGAGAAAATAATTGAATTAGCATGGTTGTCTATGGTCTAGTTAGCTAGAATGGGTAAGTGTGTTGATAATTGCCCCCAGCAGATCGTTTGGGAACCCTAAGCTTATCTCCGTTTCGATCACACCGAAATCGAGAGAGCCCTCCACAAGGGTCCGAAGCGGTATCGACCTGTGACGGTAACTTAATATTAACTTATACAAATACTTAGGGTGCTTACAATGTTTCCTAACTCATTTGCACTTAAAAGGTAACTTAAGATGTTTCTGTCTGGGTTCGTTTCAAACAAAGGACATATAGGGTTTTTATTTACAAGATTTAAATGGGATCATTGGTATGTGGTGTGGTGGGATATGTTTTTATTTTGGGAATTTTTTTTAGACGAGGGCACAAAAACGAAAAACGTAAATATTTAAACATAGAAAATCATTAATTATGCAAACTATTTGGTTATTACTTTTTTATTAGTAGTATATGTATAGTTACAGTAATGTAACCAACTGGACTTTCGATAATTTACAGTAAAGGTTTTTATCTTGTCTGCCAATTGTGGAAACTATACACAGCCATTGCGACCTCGATTTCGATTTGTAACTAAAAACTGACAAGGACAAACTGGCTACCAAGAAGCACCTACCTTTCGTTAAAGGTCTCCAGTTTGGCGTAGTTCTGCAGGCTGCTCTCGTCGATAAGGAACTTCATCCGCTCAAAGAAGGAGGCTGTGATGGCCGGCGGCTGTTTGCGTAGCAGCACATCAATGGGTTTCGGAGCCGAAACGCAGAGCTGCGAGGTCTTGCACACATGACTGGCACAGCATTCGGGATCTTCGCAATCAACAAGGCCATCTATGGATAAAAATTGAATTATAGAATTCATTTAACACCTCTTTTGGCATACACCACTCACCCTTGTCGTTGTCCTTGCTGTCACCACAGTTCAACTCCAAAGCGATGCCGCAGTCTGGTCCGTCCCAGCCCTCGTAGCAGCGACACTCCCACTGACCCTCGCCGCTCACGCGGCACTGTCCATGTCCGGCACAACTGTTGGGACAGCCCTCGATGGTGCAGTGCTTGCCGTTCCAGCCAGTGACGCACAGACAGGTGCCGTTCTTGCACTGACCGTGCTCATTGCAGCGGGCGTCGCACAGTCGGGTGTTACAAAACTCCCCACCCCACTCCGCGTCGCAGGCACAGGCGTCGCCCTCGCAGCGCCCGTGCTGACCACAATCCAGGTCACACAGCTCCTTGGAGCAGTCGTCCCCGCTCCACTTGGCCTCACAGGTACAGGTCTGGGTGTCCAGGTCGAAAGTGCCGTGGCCGGAGCAATCAGGCAGGCACTGCAGAGCGTCCTGGTCCATGGTGGCGCAGTCCGGACCCTTCCATCCCTTCTTGCAGATGCAGGTGCCGTCGGCGCAGAATCCGTGGCCCGAGCAGTTCGGATGCGGACAGTCCACTGGGGAGGAGAAGCGGGAAGAGTGTTAGCTAGTGTACGGAAAGGAAGAGGACAAGGTGGGTTGGGGACAAAGGATCCTAGATCCCGGCACTACCTTCTTCGCAGAATTTGCCCTTGTAGCCGCGCATGCACTGGCACTTTCCGCTGACACAGTGGCCGTGCCCATTGCAGTCGGCCACCTCGCACTCGTCGTGCCGCAGCGAGCACTCTTTGCCCTTCCAGCCCGGGTTGCAGATGCACTCCCCGTTGGTGTACTCCCCATGCTGGGAGCAGAGGACGGGACACACGCTCTCGCTGCAGTCGTCGCCCCCGAAGCCGGGGTTGCACTGACAGTGGCCGAGCAGGCACTGACCGTTGCCGGAGCAGCCGTTGGGACAGTTCTGGGTCATGTCCTCGGCCACGGCCGCGTAGAAGGTCAGTTCCTGCACGTCGCCGTCGTCGTTGTAGAGCGAGACGAACCAGTGCCCCGGCTCCATGTAGCGCGTCACCTCCCGCGTTATCGACAGCTGAACGGGATTAGGCCAAGCGAACGATCGATCGAGCGGGTGATGGGTGCAGTGGGTGGGATGATGCATGAAAAGTGCATGAAAGAGACACGACTAGAGTTAGTAGACGATCGGCAAGGGGTCAGTTGGATGCAGGCTACTTACGTGTGCGGCCCGGGCCGTTCGCGTGCTGGCACTGAATCCGCTGAGCACTTCCTTGAAGTGGTACTGCGTGTGGGTTGGCAGGGCGTTGCGGCGGCCGTAAACTCCGATGGAGGCGCCCCGCGGAATCGTGTAGTCAAACTTGACGTAGGCTGGCTCCGACTGGTAGAACTGCATGTTCCAGTAGCTGTACGGCTGGATCTCCTTGGTCAGCTTCTGGCCGAGCGTGATCTGGCCAAAGGTGGTGCCGTCCGGTGGGAAACTGCGCGCCGGGAATGTTCGGGCTCCTGATTTGGCAGCGGCGGCAAAGCGATCGCAATGTTTTCGAAAGTGCAATGAGGGGTGATAGAGATACAAAGGATTAGATTCTGGTTAGTCATCCATTATGTACAGTGTATGTATGGTTTGGTAATGTGGCAAGATTTTGTACAGGTCATAGTCTATCCCACTTGCATATCCCCCTGCAAATGGAGTTCACCCTCCTAAGTTATTGAATGGGAAATCGCAAAATATACATAGAGTCTGGTGCTGATGGTGATGTGATGCCAATATTTTTTACTTTGAGGTAATTTGTACAAATGCGAGACTAATGGGAGATGAGCTGGTTTAGTTACAGAACATAGACTAGAAGTCAATAATTTGTACAGCAATTAGTACGGTTAATTTTTTTATTAGACAAAGCGTGGTTAGCAACAAATGCACTGTGCACAATTCACCTTCCAGTATCAGTACTGGCATCACATCAGGACATGCAAACGGTTCACCACCAGCACCAATGTTGGGTTCAGTATAGGAGGCGGCAATGTGGTTATCGATCTCGGTGCTAGGGGGGTTAGTAGCGGTGGTTGGAACAGCGATTGGCTCCACATGGCTCAAAATGGTCGCCCTTTCCAAAGGCGCTGATGTCGTGGTACTGGTCGTAGTCGCGGCTGATTGGACAGAGTCAATGTCAACGCTGTCATCCAGGTAGATGGGCGCTGGAGGAGGGAGACAGCTGCAGGGACAGTCGGGCATGCGGGGTGGTGGCTCTGGGGCACAACTGTCCGCCTGGCCACTCGGTCGCTCGTGGGTCAGCACCTCCTTGATGTTGTGCGGCCCTGCTCCCGTGGGTACTTCCACGTGCAGTGTGTACACCGAGTCGCTGCCCTCGTCGGTGGCTATTGTCAGGTTCAGGAATATGCGACGGCCTGGCAGATCAACGCGCTCACTTACGTATGGCTTAAGGGGCTTTAGGTGAAGGGGTACTTCGTCGCCCTTCTCCTGCTCTTTTAGCACTTCGTTTTCACTCCCGACAAATGGTTCACCCTTGTGTGTCGACTTCTGCTCATCTGCCGTCTTGTATACCTCCTCTTCATGGGAACTTGGCGCCCCATCTAGTTTGACTATATCGATATCCTCAAAGTGCGAGGCATCGCTCATCATTAAATCCGATTCCGTTTGATTGGTTTGTGGTTGGTCCTGGCTGTTTTCCTGACTTTCCTTACCTTTAAACCCAAAATGAGTGTGAGTAATGGGCACAAGTGATATAGAATTGGTTGCTCAGACTAAGAAAAACCTCTTTGCAATACTTTTAGCTAGACCTGCTGTGCGGATTACTTGAAGGAACGGAAGATCGATAGTTGTGTTAGACTGTTTCCGATTATTTTAATTTAACTTAAATTTACAACTTAGTTTTTGTCTGTAATTTTGGATAACTCGTACTATGGCTAATTGCAGATACAGCTCTATACCAACGATCGATTTAATTCCGAATTCATCGGAAACACAAAGGCCTCTAAGATAAAAGCATTGTAAGATAATTTCTTTAGCCTGAACTCAAGTCACAACTCTATACCATTGGCTCGACTCACCATAGATGTTGGTTTGATTTATACCTTGTGGGGGTGTGGCTGGTGATGTTGGCTCCTCGGTGTCTACCTCATAGTTGTCAGCTAAATCACGCTCATTATTGATATCATCAGTGGCAGGTTTCCCTGTCTGCGACCCCCCAGCCTCAGTCGTTTTGATTTGAAAATCATTTTCAATGGCAGGCTGGTTCGAGCGGGCGGCAAAAGAGCTCTGAGCTGGCTCTGGTTGGGTGGTGTTGATTTCAACAATGTCATCGGTGTCACTCCTCAGAGTCGTCTCCGGCGTTGTGCCTGAGCTGCTCTTGTCACTTTGATTATCGTCATCAATAACAGCAACCAATGTGCTGGTCTCGGACTCTGTCGCCAGCTTCGTTGCCATCCCAATAGCTTCGAGAAACTCCTGCTCCTGCTGCTTAATGTGCCCATTCGCCTCCGCCCCGTAGTCATATTTCCTTCTCTTGTTGACCAGTGTTTTAGCAGCGCTGCGTAAATTGCTGTTTAATGATTTGCCAAATTGTTGCCCCGTCCTGGGTCTCCGGATGAGCGGATGGGGGGTCTCCGTCTCAACTTCGTCTTCATAGACATAGTCGGTGGAGTCTTCCTCGATGCTTTGGGGACCCAATACTCCATTGATTCGGGGCAAAGTTTTATCGGTGCTGCTTTGAACGGCGACGTCTGGCAGGCTTTTGGCTGGGGTAGTTGCCGAATACTTTTCAGCAGTCTGCTGGTTGAGGCTTTCGCTTGTAATTAAGTCGGTGAAAGTTTCATCTGTAGCCACATCATCTTCGTCCTGTCCCTCGATTAAGCTTCGGCGTTGTCGTCGTTCCTTATCTCCTGCCCCATTGACTGACAGCTGCGTTGACATTGCTCTTCCTACAGGTAAACAAAGCGAACGAATCGAATCGAAACGGACGGGGGAGTGGTTTACAGTACTCTGTGCTTTTGGAGTGCCCTTGCGGAGGGGTTGCTCCATCCAAAGCCACCCCCGGACCCACACCTCTTTAAATTAAGCGTTAAATGTGTTTTTAATTCAATCCTAGTTGTGTAGCTTTGAGCCGGTTAAAGAGGTCTTAAGTGAGCGGCTGGAGCGTCAGAGAGTGAGGAAAAGCGATATATCTCCTAACAATTCGAAGAAGACGAACACGAGCTGTGGCAATGAAAACTTTAGACTGCTGCCTTCTCGACCGTCTTGCTGTCAATTCAAAAAAGTAATTAATGCAATATTTTAGCCCGACAAATCCCAAAGAACGCGCTCAAGTTGAACTTTAATTGAAAGAAATGGGAAGGCGTTCCGAGAAATAATGAAAACGGCATTCGCATAATCCCTACCCGGCGTAGGCGTCTGTCTGTCAGGCGCAAACTTCAAGCTAAAAAATCCTACAAAAACAATAAACTTTTTGTCTCCGCCGGAGGGCGCTAAGCGCTAAATACTCCGACGTCTTGGCTTTCTCTCACTCCGTCTGAATCTCTCTTCTTTCGCCGCTCCACTCTGTAGCTGCCTTGCGAAACTTGCGAAAACTCATTTAAAAATAATTAAAAGTTGTGCATAATTACCTCCATTATTGGCATTCGCCAGGGACGAGGATAGCGATGGCGTTAGCGAGGATTGCGAGGAAGACGTGGCCGCCGAGGACGTGGCCTCCGCCGAGGCGGACGTCGACTGCAGGCCCTGGGCAGTGCCGCTGTTCGAGGTGGCCGTCGTCACTGTGGCCGCCGAGGATCCGCCGGATCCTCCGCCTCCGCCAACTCCCGCGCCTACCGCTCCTCCGAGTCCCGATTGTCCCTGGGCCAGTCCGATGCCTTGTCCGTTCTTCGCGCGCACCGAGGAGTTGTGCAGCTTGGAGAGGTCCGTGTTCGTGCTCTTGGCAGCCGTGACCTCGGAGGCCTCGTTGCCGACTAGAACGGTGCAGGGCGCCGACTGGGTCCAGTGCAGGCCGCCGAAGGTGGTCAGCAGGATCAGCATAAGCGCGCCCACCAGCAGCGCCGATATGGCGACGACGCTCACCCAGGGCGAGGAGCAGCGCGCCGCCAGGTCCTTGCGGAAGTTCATCGGCGCCGAGTAGTGGTGCGCGGGCAGTCCGTTCATGACGCTGCGCGGCGGCAGCACAGGACCCATGCAGCCCTGCGTGCTCCGCTCGTATCCCTTCAGCGTGTCCTTCGTGGGCGTGGAACAGGCGGAGCCGCTCTTGAAGTCGATGGGTGAGCCCTTGTTGATGTCTGCAATGGGAGAAGATGGGGTTGGGTCGGGTTAGTAATCGATTCGGGCATTTGAGCGTGCGATTTTCCATTTAAACCGAGTTCGGACATGGAATGGTCCCCCAGCTCCGTTTCCTGGGAAACCGCAAGCCTGTCGGGGATGGGGGTGTGGGTGTCTGTGCAGACCATCCGCACACTATTGTATTTTGCTTATCGCCATTTGGCGCAAATTTCATTTGTATAAAAGGATTTGCACAAGGATAACAAACTGACATTCAACATAACCTCAAACAAACGAGACGACAGACGGAACAAAGCTGAAAAAAAGGACGAAGCGAAATGAAACGGACGAACTGCGAATGAATGGATGAAGTAAGCAGCGCAAATGACCAGCGACAATGACGTTGGCAAAACAGGGGGCCAGCGGGAAATGGTAAAAAACGAGCAGAAAGGTTATCCTGGCCGGGCTGATGATGTGGATCCGGGGGTGGCCAAGGATGTGGTGGGTGGCATGAAGTGAAGTGAAAAAAGGCAACGCCGCAGGACGGACAGAGCGGTGACAGCGCCAGGAGCAGCAGGACCAAAGGACAGCCGGACAGCGAAAGTTGAAATCATTTGTTGATGCCACGATGATAATTCGATTATGTGACATGGAGCGGCCGCATGGGGCTGCTTTCCACCGGGTTGAGGACCCCCCGTGACTGGGTAATGCCTTTGGCGATGGGAAACACGTCGCAGCGAGCTTTTGTCCGACTGAGCCGTAGCTCTGGTTACCCAGCAATCAGCTGGGCATGAGTCGGTCAACTTTGGCCCGCTCACTTTCACGCAATAAAGTTTAGGCGCTCGTTTTCGAGGTTTGGCCGGCTCTTTCAGGCCGGAACGCATGCTGCTATCAATGGCAACCTCGGTTACACATTCTGCGGCAGACGGCCAAACTACCGGCGACATGTGGGTTAAATGCGAGTGGGTGAGTGTGGGGAATCATAGGCTCGCCCTGTGACAAACGTTCGCTTTCACGAAAAATCGTTGTAATTTCTGGCGAAACGAGCCACGGATGTAGGGAATCCCCAAACCCATAAGAGCATAGTTTGGACGCTATTGGACTAACCCCCAACGCCTCCTCGTTACCAACCCCGTCCCCTCATCTCGGTCCTGTCTTTTGACCCTGTCCCTTCGTGTGTGCCCAATGATAGCGTGAATAATGTCTGCGTCATTTTTTTACATATACACACATTTGTGGGAATGTGCGGATAAGTATTAAAGATGCCCACTAAGCGTATACGGGATGTTAGATTTATTTAATGTCAAGATCCCTCCATATGTGCGGGGGGAAGTGAGTCTGGAGGGCTTGGGTGCATAAATGTCCAGGGAGGAGATCCCCAAACCAGTGGAGACTTTCGCAAGGTTAAGTCGAGAGTTCTGGGCGAACCCCAGAGTTAGTTGCCTCGTTAAGGGGGCGTGGCAGGCGGGCGGGCCGTTTTTATGACCGGAACGTGTGGTGAGAGTGGGTAGTAGAAGGCAGTAGTATTTGTGTGTGAATAATTAACGAACGCATAATAGCAGTCAGCAGTCGGTAGTCGGTAGTCGGAGCTGGGCCAATGACTGATATAAATTCACACAAGTTAATGGGCGCTGGATGCTTTTAAAAAAGGAGGCTCCGGTTCCCTCGGAAGTGTTTGCAGCCTGATGAGATGAAAGTGCTGCGGGGTCATTAAACGTAATGGCAGACACGACAAAGTATGCCCCGATAAATGGCAGCCACCGCCCACACGGGGTCAATTTATCGGCGAAATAGATCACAAATATGTCTGTTTTACCTCGTATCTCCTCCGCTAACGGCCCAATCACTTCTGCCTGATCTCTCACCCCAGTTTGTTGAACCCTCAGCTGGATTGCAGCAGTCGAATAAATTCAATGAACTCTGATTAGCCTTATCCCCTTTGAAAATTGTCGAGGTGACGGTTTGGAATCTGGCAACTTCTTCCCGGCCTGCTACTTTAATGCATTGGAACATAAAAGTTCGGTTTATTAATTTCATTCCATTTTATTACATGGACATTTTATGCAAAATGGGGATTAAGCCTGCGGCCGCTTTATGAACCCGAGAGTAAATCGCTTAAATTAAAATAGCACAGCCGCCAGCAAGTGTGGTGGTGAGATTGGCGATATTTTAGCAGCGGCAGCATCGACAACAATAAAAAATATAAATAGTGTGGCAAACGCAGCTGGCAGTAATGGCGAGAGTATAATGTGTCGCTGTGTACTTCTGTGGGTGTCAACCCTCTGGGGCAACAAGCTGGCGCCACCCCCCTGCAAACCAACACAAATGTGATTTATGCTGCGTGCAGTTTAACATTTTTAATATTATTAAAATTACAAATTTATACACATCCCACTTGTGTGTGAGCTCCAAGGTGTCGTAGTCCAATAAACTCCCTAAGCTGGTAGGGAGAGAGGTGACGAGGTGCGAAAGCAGGCCAAAAGGCACAGCGGTGAGTGGGCGAGTGCCTGGCTTGATTTCATTTTAATTGGCTTTCCAGGCGGCTGCTTTTCGTCCTACTAGTCCTCTACTTTGCTCTCAGATGGAAACAAGAAGATAGACTGTGAGCAACTGCTTCGACAATGGGATACCGTGTAATAAAATTATTGGAATTCATGGGCAAACTATTCTTGATGTGAAATGTCGTGTCTGTTCTTGTTCTCGTCCGGAGATCCACGTATTCAGCTTACTGATCAATATTTGTGTTATTTGTTGGCTCAAGCCAGCTACAGCCGGTATTTAAATTATGAACTTGAAAGTAATCATTTAAAATTCTTCTCTATGAAATTACAAATTATTATTATTATTTCAAGTGTGGATCAGACGGAAAGTTAGCAGACCGAGGAGTTAGGCGCATGCTGAACATGAACTCTGCACCAGAAGAGCCAAAACCAATAGGGATTCAATGCGTAGTTCCAGGCAGTGCCTTATTGAGGGTTTTGGTCTTACCCCATCCCTTGGGCACACGCAACAATTGTGTGTTAAGTACTTTTTGAGTAATTGCCTTTTTCGGAGTCCAGTGGAATGGCTCGGTCCTGGCTACAACCAATTTGCATAGCCGTTAATGAACATTTGCTAATATTTTGAGCACTAAAAAACATCGCCATTAAATGGAAGGTGCCACGCCTCCCCTGCTCACGCTCCGCCCCTTGTGCTGGGCGCCAAAGCGTGCGACAATCAAATAAAAGTACATGAAAAACACATAAAGGCACATAAAGGGGTATCCAACTTGGGCTCTGTATTTTTTGTTATTCCTCGCATTTTAATGGTAAAGCGCGACGATTGCTTGAAACAAACAGGTGAACGAGGACGAGGACGAGGGCATTGGCATTGGCAAGAGGGGAGTGGAACTCCCGCCATGTTGGTAATGGAGTTTGCAAACAAACATGGCCGCCGGGGAAAAATCACATAATTTACACGTTTGCATTTAAGTATTAAGTGGGCTGGGAGGGCAGAGGGCCGGTGGAAAGGGCGGCAAAGTGTTTCGTTTACTTTTACCGCGTTTGTTTGCGAGGCTCAGCAGTTGTTCCGCTATATGTGTGTATAGGTATTTTAGGTTGTGTTCTGGCCCCGACTGAGTTTTATGTGCACAGGAAGCAATTTTTGGGTCGACTTTATTGCCCCTGTCGTCGTCATCGGTGTTGATGTTGATTTTAAAGCGTTTAATGGCCTCGCGTTGCTGTGTGTCCTCGGCTAAATTGAAAAGAAAACCCCCAAACTGGGTCCGGGTGAGTAAAAGATGAAGATTCAGCAGCAGGAAGAAGATCTGGGTTTATATGTTTGAACAAAGTGTTGGGATTTCCAGAGATTTGCCTTGGAATTTGTGGGGATTGCTGCTGGGGATGGTGGCTTGATTTTGAGCCCAAGTAAAGGGATGCGGGAAAAGGGCTATGATGGATTGACAATAAGACGGAAGGCCGGAGCGTTGGGGTGGAAATGTAGGACACGATAGGTATACAGTGTCCCATCAAGGCGGTGTCTCTGAGTGCGAGTGTAGACTGCCATATTCCCTCTACATCTAATCCTGCATTCATGGGCCGGTTATTATGCTAGGAATAATGCAGAAATATGTGGTAGGCACCCCGCTCAAGCTGCTTCGTTCGTAATTACACCCGTAAGTGGGCACAAATTGCGATACTCTGAATGGCTTTTTCTGTCGGCTTTTCCGCCGCGTCGTTTGTTGTTTGGCTGCTTATAATCAAAAATTCCATTTAAAACTTTAAACTCATTACTAAATGTTTAATGTACGCTCGTTTCACGCTCGCCCTGCTGTTGTTATTTTTATTGTTGCCGCTGCTGCTCTCGTGCTATAAATCAACACAAAAAATTCTGCAATTTGTTAGGCGCGCAAAGACAGCGAGACATACAGACAGACAAGGACAATAAAGGACTGGCTCTGGGTCCGGGTCCGGAAGCGGTACTGGGGTTCTGGGGACTGGGCTCTCTAACGATGCGGCAACCTGTCGACGTTCGTGAGGAGACCCCAAAAGGGTCGTAGTCCTTGGCGCCATATTGTTTCAAGCAGGCGGCGCACAGCGGGCGACCTGAGCACCGCCTCAAGCTCTAATCAAGTGTGTGTGCGGATGGGTGAGTGGGTCGCGGATTCGCATCCGCATTCCGGCTCCGGATTCCGGGCACAGTTCGCCGGGGCTCAAAGGCAGAGGCAAGATGAGTGTCACTCGGGTGGGGGAGTAAACTTTCGGCACGATTTGCATGTAAATTAATTGCCCTTGCCGTGTGCCCGTGGCCCGTAGCCATGCAGCGAGATTTTTTCCTGCTTAAGCAACCCTCGGGGCGAGATAAGTCGTATAAATTATAGCAATTTAATAAGTTTTAAATATACGCATCCGGCTGACTCTCGCCGACTCGGTCTCGCTTTGTCTGTCTCCCGAAAAGTTGGTAAAATCTTGCAGCAAAGTTTACCGCGCACCGAAGGGGCGATGCTCCAGACTCCAGACTCTAGACACCAGACTCCTGACTA